GTGACATATGCTCGTCTGGTTTTATTTTCGATTAATTATTTCAAATAACACTCTTTACGAATTAAATGAAATACATATAATTAGTTAACTAGCCGTTGAAATATATCTGTGTTTGTGTTTATGTTAATTGCATCATCATGCACAAGGTGACTCCAATTTATAACATCTCTATGGATATGGTTAGCGCACCACGAAACTAAACCACTCACTTCAAAGCATTTTTGCAACATCAACCAGATAATTCTTCTGCGGATCTTATACTAGTTAATATTTTGAGAAAATTACCAAATATGACTCAAAACTTGATTTGAAATGCAAAAGTAAATCCAAACTTGAATCAAATGCAAAATTAACTTAAAAGGCTATTGAAATTACAACCAACCCCTTGTGAACAAACAAAAAAATGTATTTTTTTATGTTTTTAGCCCTCGCAAGTCGTCTGGGACAATTTTTCTTAAAAATAATTTAAAATTGTGTAATAAATATCTTGATAAATGAAAAATTGGGATTATGTAATTAACATGTGTCTTAAGAGATATAAATTAAGATATAACAAAAATCAGTTGTTTTCAGCATAGATGAGTGAAAGTAGTGAGTCATGATATTCTTTAGTTTAGGTTTCACCAATATATGTTAAAGTATTGTATGTGTTTCTCAGGGTTAGATTTTTGAAAGCATAAATGTTTTTTTGAAAAATTAAAAATTTACCTAAGTGTGTTTATTTCTGTGTAAAGTAAACACTATTTAAGTATAATTTGATTTTATAACGTGGTTAGTTAGTTAATTTAGTCAATTTAGTTTAGGGTTTAGGGTTTAGGGTCTGGACAACTGAAATATCGGTCGTCTGATAAATAATTTTACACAGACGACTTAAAAGTAAGTCGTACTAATATTCCCGCCTAAAATTTTTAAAAAGATTATTTTCCCGCTTTAATAATTGAAACCAGACAACTTACTTGTAAGTCTTCTGGACGACTTACTTGTAAGTCTTCTGGACGACTTACTTGTAAGTCTTCTGGACGACTTACTTGTAAGTCTTCTGGACGACTTACTTCTAAGTCTTCTGGACGACTTACTTCTAAGTCTTCTGGACGACTTACTTCTAAGTCTTCTGGACGACTTACTTGTAAGTCTTCTGGACGAAAGTCTTCTATTTTAGTTTCCCGCTAGAAATATTTTAGTTTCCCGCTAAAATTATTAAAGTCTCTTGGAAAACTTACATTTCAGTCATCTGAATCGGAAATATTTAACCTAATTTTTTTTTGTTTCCCTATAAAAAAGAAAATTTACACATTCTCTCTCCTCCTCTCAAATGTCTGCAACAAAAAATGTAATGTTCATCTTTCTAGAACTCTTCAATCTCTCTATAATCTCTTTAAACTTATAAACACCAAACTTTATATCAATTTATTGTTTTTGTCTCATGTCTTTCTCATTAACTTATCTTGTTTTGTAGGTTTTTCATCACATGATTCTCATATTCCACTCATTTAAAGATAGATCTATTAACTTTATATGAATATTTCAGTTATGTCTCATGTTTTTCTCACTAATCTATCTTTTTTTTTCAGGTTTTTAATCAGATGGTTCTCATCTTCATTTGGATGTATGTTATGTTTTCTATAAAAGTATATATATATATATATATATATATAATCTTTCACTCATTTTCTGTGTGTTTTAAGCCATTTGAATGTTTTTGGATATGCAGGTTTTTCAGATCTGGAAGTCTTCTGGACGACTTACTTGTAAGTCTTCTGGGCGACTTACTTGTAAGTCTTCTGGACGACTTACTTGTAAGTCTTCTGGACGACTTACTTGTAAGTCTTCTGGATGACTTACGTGTAAGTCTTCTGGACGAATTACTTGTAAGTCTTCTGGACGACTTACTTGTAAGTCTTCTGGATGACTTACTTGTAAGTCTTCTGGACGACTTACTTGTAAGTCTTCTGGACGACTTACTTGTAAGTCTTCTCGAAATACTTCTGGGACGACTTACCTGGAAGTCGTCTGGACTTCCTGTAAGTCATCTGGAATTCCTGTAAGTCGTCTGGAAGTTATCTGGAAGTTGTCTGGACTTTCTGAAAGTTTTCTGACGCAGTCTTCTTTCATATCAAGTGGAGTCCAAGCTTGCCTTTGTAAAGGAATGATCTATTATAGTTTTGTAAAATCAGTTCCCAAGATGTAATATATGTGCTAACAATGTGTTTACACATGTACAAATCAATGAAATAATAGACTTCAGTAGTTTTTTTCATCTTTTGGATCTCCCATATGCAATAATAAATCACAATGTCCTTCTGCTCATCTTAATAAACAAGAATGTTGGTAGCTTCGTATTGATACAACATTTTAAGAAGAATTTTAACCTTTCTTCCAACAAATCATCATTGGTGTTAAAGCATATTACATGTTTTACAATGTTGTGTTGAAAAACTTAGTCAAATTTAGTAAAATTAAGGGAGAAAAAATATTTTGAAAATATGAGATTTACATATCATGAAGTTATTTAATACTTTTAAAAATACAAGTAATTCAAAAAATATTTTTATCACTTTATTCAACCAAGAAAATTTAGTAAAATTCACAGAAGATCAAACATTACGGGATTTTATCAAATATTTTTATCACTCTATTCAACCAAGAAAACTTAGTAAAATTCAAAGAAGATCAAACATCCAGCTAAAAGACTTTCCAGATGACTTAATTATTAGTCATCTGAGAAGACTAACACAAATTCTTAATACATACTCATAAAGCCTGGACGACTTAGTAGAAGACTTATAATTAAGTCTTCTGGAAAGTCATCGAGCTGGAAGAATTTCCAGATGACTTAATTATTAGTCATCTAAGAAGACTAACACAAATTCTTAATACATACTCATAAAGTCTGGACGACTTAGTAGAAGACTAATAATTAAGTCATCTGGAAAGTCATCCAGCTGGAAGACTTTCCAGATGACTTAATTATTAGTCATTGACGCAGACGATATACAAGTAAGTTGTCCAGACGACTTAACTGTAAGTTGTCCAGATGACTTAACCGTAAGTCGTCCAGACGACTTAACTGTAAGTTTTCCAGATAGGTCATTTTTGCAATTGAAATTTAAATGAGACGACTTACTTCTAAGTTGTCCAGGTTTGTATGTTAAAAAAAAAAATCTAGACGACTTATAAGTAAGTCGTCTAGGAAAAACGGGCTAGTTTTGCATTTGACCGAATTGTGTTAGATATTTGACTTTTCTTGGACGACTTACCAGTAAGTCGTCTCCGGGAAAGTTAAAATTTCAATATTTTATTAAATCTAGACGACTTATGGATAAGTCGTCTTAGGTTAGTTTTGTAATTGAAAAATAAAATTTTAATTTTAACTTTTTCCAGAAGACTTAATTTAAAGTCGTCCAGACAGACGACTTATTCTAAAGTCGTCCGAGATAAGCATAGTTTGACCGGAAAAAAAATATGGACGACTTTACTTATCTCAGACGACTTTAGAATAAGTCGTCTGACTGGACGACTTTAAAATAAGTCGTCTGACTGGACGACTTTAAATTAAGTCTTCAGGAAAAAAATTAAAATTAAAGTTTTTTTTTTTCCATTACAAAACTAACCTAGGACGACTTATTCGTAAGTCGTCTAGAATTAATAAAATATTGAAATTTTAACTTTTCCGGAGACGACTTACTGGTAAGTCGTCCAGGAAAAGTCAAATATTTGACACAATTCGAACAAATGCAAAATTAGCCCGTTTTCCTAGACTACTTACTTATAAGTCGTCCTGATTTTTTTTTTTTTAACATACAAAGCTGGAAGACTTAGAAGTAAGTCGTCCAGCTGGACGACTTAGAACTAAGTCGTCCAGCTCATCCAAAAGACTTACGATTAAGTCTTCTACGCGAACAGATCTGGAAAAAAATTTCAATTTCATACCTTAAACTAGGTGAGATGACTTTCTTAGCACACAAAGTCTTCTCTAACCACCCAGAATTTCAAATGAAAGTAACCCACCAAGAATTGTATGCTTAAATGGCTTTATCAACCATAAAAATTTTTGAATCAAAAGCTTGGGTTTTTTGTATGAATATGGAGACAAAGTGAAAGAGATGTTGTTTTTAGTTCATAACAATTGAGAAAGAGAGAGTGTAAATCGATTTTAGGTGCATTAAGAGCTTCAAATTGGTTGTTCATGGTAGTTAGGGTATTGATGACAATGTCAATCTTGTAAATACTTGAAGATGATGAGGTTGAGAGAGTAAAAAAATAATTTTCAAAAAAAAAAGAGAAAAAAGCGTAATGGCATTTTCGTAAATAGTATGAACATATTAGGTGAATAAGACAAACGAAAAATCAAAAGACAAGAAAGATTAGTTTTGTGTTTGACTTTGAATTTTGAGTTAAATTTGCAAAAATCTCTGATATCTTTTACAAAAGAAAAATAAAATTTTCTTCTACGGATCCCACAGAGGACGTAAGCATGGGTCCAACTCTATTTCTCTTGTCACTTATTCACTCATTCACCTGTCTTTTTGCTTTCCCTAAAATGACAATCAGACTAATTAAGTATGTGACATCGGGGGGTTCAGTCAAAAAAAAAAAGAAAGTATGTGACATCGGGGGGTTGTTTGTTCACTGATCATTACGAATTCATTTTCATCGGCTTGTTTTAATTTATTATATATCCCTTTTTTACATCACGGATATCTTAAAACGAATAATCTCAAATGTAAAAATATTATATATGCACTTTACGATAATTTTTTTGTTTATTAATTTCCTACTAGCACGAATTATTTATAATCAGAAAAGAAACAAAAGGGCATTCGAACTTATCCGAACATGATGTTCTCTATAAATACAGAAACCTTTCACCAGTTTGTTCGTAGAAAGAGCACAAGCCAACCCTCAGAAGTGGTGTCTCACCTCTATTCTTATACACTGATACACACTCCATATATCAAATAATTTTTGTAAACAGATAACGTTTTGATATGGGGTTAAAGATGTCGGAATCAGCCAAGCCCTACTTTGCAATGGTATGTCTCCAGTTCGGATACGCTGGCATGAATCTCATCACCAAGGTTGTGCTCGACCGCGGCATGAGTCATTTCGTCCTTGTGACTTATCGTAATGCCTTTGCCACGGCCGCTATTGCACCTTTCACCCTTCTCTTCGAGAGGTAACATATCTATATATCGAAATGTACAAAGTTCGATTCACAATGGATACTTAAGCATTAAGATGAGACTGGCAAAAGTAAAAACTATTTGGATGTTTTAGGAAAGCGAAGCCAAAGATGACGTTCCCACTATTCATGCAAATATTTGTACTCGCTCTTCTTGGGTTAGTCTTCTTTGATTTGAATCATTTTTAAATAATTCGCTTGACATGTATGTAAAAATATTTATTTTCTGAATTTCTTAGAACAGGCCTGTGATCGATCAGAACTTATATTATGCTGGTCTTAAACTCACTTCAACGACGTTTGCTGGCGCCGTCACGAACATCGTGCCCGCTTTGACCTTTATCATTTCCATAATTTGCAGGTACCTAAATTTAAATCATAGCTTAAAAAATAATTATATAAAGTGGAAGGTAAATACATTAGGATATAATATGGTACGTTGATAAATGATATATGGTTCAACTGTTTTGGTGATAAAAGGATGGAGAAGGTGGAGATGAGAAAAGTAAGATTCCAAGCAAAAGTGGTGGGGATATTAGTGATAGTAGTTGGAGCCATGTTGATGAATGATGACACTATTCGAAAGCCCTTTAATCAACTTTCTCCGGTCTCACCTCATAGGTGATGCTTCGTCGCCGGCCGTTGAGGACTATCTCAAGGCCACCGTCTTCCTCCTCATCGCCTCATTTTCTTGGGCTTACTTCTTTGTTCTTCAGGTAATTAAATTTTGGGAAGACGACCTATTTCCCCACAGGAACTATGGTATAGTAATAAATGTACACAAAGTTTTGACCTCGACGTAATTGCACACCACAAAAGTATAACAACGCTCTTCCACATACGATGAAAGTTCGAAACCCGTTTCCCCCTAAACTTTGAAAATCGAACTAATATCAACAAATTACGGTTTAAAATTGGTTAGTGTTCTCTAAACCTAAACTTAACCAAAATAACTAACTCACCTAAACCAAAAATACCCGATTATGACCCGTTTACAGATTAAAAACCCGATTAAATCAACCTTAACCAAATTAAAAAGAAACACTAAAACATCAATCTCTTACGTTTGAAAAGAACGTCGTTGCTCCTCCGATTGTCTCCGATTCTCTCTGATTGTTTCTAGAATTGAAAGGTAATTTCGACATCTCTCTCTCTCTTTATCTCCATCTCTCTCTCGTTATTGGACTGTCTCTTTGTCTCTCAATGTCTCTCTGTTTTGACTCTGTGTCTCTCTGTTTTTAAGGAATCAACAATGGAATCATGGACTGATGTGAATGTAGAGTGGAATGATGTACTTGATTTCGATCCGGGGACACCTGATTCTCCTGATATTGCTACGAAATCTCTCTCTGAATTTTTTTGATTTTAGGGTTCTAAAGTCATGAACTCAATTTTAGGTGTTTTAAAGTGGATTCGGGTTGGATTTAAATCGATCCATAGTCGGATCTTTATCTGGGTCGAGTTGTACCAATACTAACTGGTATACTGTTGTCGGTTTATGTAATAAACCATTAAAACCAAGCCAAATCTTGGTATGAGGGGAAACGGGTTTCGAACTTTCATCGTATGTGGAAAAGCGTTGTTATACTTATGTGGTGTGCAATTACGTCGAGGTCGAAACTTTGTGTACATTTATTACTATGCCATAGTTCCTGTGGGGAAATAGGTCGTCTTTCATTAAATTTTCGAGATTACATAAGTTGAGAAATTGTCTAAATTGTTTTTTTATAAAATAAAAATAAAATAAATACAAGTTTAATTTGCGATATGTTTGATTTACATTTTGTTCTAACGCATTAAGAATATGTTTCCTTAGGCGGCTACGTTGAAGAGGTACTCATCTCACCTTACATTATCTACAATGGTGTGCTTCATGGGAACGTTACAGTCCACAGCCCTAACATTTGTAATTGAACCAAACCTTTCTGCATGGAACATTCGATATGACATGAACCTTCTAGCATCACTTTACGCGGTTCGTCCTTCTTCATGACATATATAACTTTATGTAATATATCGAATTATAATACTTTCGTAGAACTATGAACAATAATACTTAGTAATGTGATTTGTGAATGTGTACTTTTATAGGGTATAATGTCGTCGGGGATAGCGTATTATGTTCAAGGGGTGACGACGAAGAAAAAAAGCGCTGTTTTTGTCACTGCTTTTAACCCTCTTATTGTCATAATCGGATCCATCATTGGCTTACTTATACTCGGCCAAAGATTATACCTTGGCGGGTTAGTAACCAATGAACTTTTTCACTTATTATGTCACATGGCTCCATCCTCATATTGTGTCTGAACAATTACTATTTTTGGTTATCCATTTCTGAAATCTTAGGGTTCTTGGAATGGCGATATTAATGGTGGGAGTGTGTGTGTGATTCTGTGGGGAAAGGAAGGGGATGAAGAAGAGAACAGTGAGAATAAATTTGTAGAATTTATTAAAGGTTGTATAGGCTGTAGAAACAATATGCCAAGAATTGATGAGGAGGTAGATGTTGAAATGGGGAAAGCTAAAATGGTGGTGGATTTGTTGTAGTCTAGTATGTAGAAAAAAGGGAAATTTTGGGCTGTATAGCCTTCAAAAAAATTATAATTAGCTCAATAACAAAAAGACCTATCTCACCGATATACATGTCATCTATTATATAACTAGATGATAACCCGCGCGCATGCGCGGGGTGAAATTTTTATACTAATATTTATTCATTAAATGGTTTTTAACATTTTGCAATACTACAGTATTTATCGATTATAAAATGATGAATACAAATGTTGGTATCTTAAATCTTCATAGGTCTGGACGTTTGAGACTTTGACGGTTTTAGTTTGATTGACACGTATTTTCAGATTTTGGTATTATTCTCATAAATCATATTTGAATTTTACTAATTATCGGATTGGATACGATTTGATCTTCTCAATTCAGTTTCGATTGGATTGTAACCAATATCTGAAATCATTCCAAAAAATATTTGTTAAACATTAAAAGTTGACAAAAAAATCAAAATATTTAAACTATTAATAAATCTAATTTAAAATTAGTTAAATTATCTAAACAAACTAAAAGATATTAAAAAAAAGAAGCAAATAAAACAAACTACAAAAATCTTTCGAATACTATAATTTGTATCTACTAACCTCAAACCTTTTCACTGAAATTTTTAAATTAACATATTTATAGTATGAATATCTACTAATGATACTTCATATTCGTACGATTTATGATAATTTGTATCTTCTTTGGAAAAAAACAAAGTTAAACCATTGATCATAAAAATTTCAATGTGGAATTTTACAATTTTTAGTTATTTATGGTCATTTTAAAAAATTAAAAATATAACCTATAAGAAAAAAATTAATTTTTTTATTATATATTTAAATGTGATTATTTAATTTGTTTTAATAATTTAAAATTAAACAAAAAAGAGAGAGGATACAAAAATATATATTATTCATAATCATTAATTACATATATATGTTAATTATATTAGGTAATTCCGTAGCTTTTATTTAAGGAAATAAAATATATTGTTTTATACCTAGCAAAGTTGGTCCCTTAAAAATGTCTATATATTATAGTCCTAAATGCAAGAAATTAAATGTTACATTATTTCATTCCTAGCAAAGTTGGTCCATTAAAAAATTAAAGCTGAGAAGCTCTGTGAGCTCGACACGTAAGCATGTTCTCCAAGGTTGTGCATTTATGAATGCTTCAGGATTAATATATAAGGGATATTGCTATATTATCCTCAAAAGTTACCGGATAAACCTGCGAGAAAAAAAAATAAAAATAATTATTTTTTTTTTTGTAAAAAAGTTATTCGTGTCCGTTTGTCAATCACACCTTCTAAAAAGCTATTTTACCTTCTTCCTCGTGAAATTGAATTGTCTCTTCTAGTTTATGGCCATCGCGTTTCCACCACCTCTGTTCCTAGTTTTGATTTCTGAACGACATCGCTCTTTCAACCGTGCTTCATTAGACGGTTATTAACCTTCGCGGAAAACGAAATTGAATTAGCCGGCGACACGACTTACAGCCGTTGTAAGTTCCGATTTACTCTTATGGTCTTTCACTTGTAATGGGAAACACTCGACGAACACGAATGGGATGTTTGATTTAAAGTATGGGTATGTATAGTTTTTGGAATAAATTGATTAGTTTTTATGATCTGGGTGTTCCGACGGTCTTACCGGCTCTGCTTTTTGTTTCCTATCCGGTTATAAAGGGGAAGTCGATGGGTGATGGGCGATAGCGGGTTTAGTGTTTAGGAAGTAGACACATTTACTTTCTACTCTATCCAATCTTATTTAATTTCTATTTTATTAGAAGTTGTGTGTTCTTATCTGACAGATGGATGTTACAATTAGCGTTGCACAAATGTAGATTCCCATTATATTAGACCTAACTATTCTACTTATGCTTGATGTACATAATATACACGATTGTGCACTTAGCTATTCCGTTTATTTCATTATTCCATGTGATTTATTCTCTACTGTTCTTCGTAGCAAGTCTATTCTTGCGGTAATACAAAGTTTTTGCTACTTAATGCGGATATTGGTTATTTCTATTCCATTCTAGTAATTTGCGCTATCCATTTCCCACTTCTTTTTCACTATACTTTGCACGAACAAGCATTCCATTCTATTTAGCATATAGTATACTATTTTATTTGTGTACCAGTATTGGCTAACTCACAATCTATTGCACTCGCATTGTTCCATTCTATTTAGTATATAGTATGCTTTATTTGTATAACCAACATAGGCATGTTAACAATATATTTCACACTCACTTTTTTATTCTTCCCACTTTAACATGCCCATATCCCGAATAGATATATCCTTCCTTGTTGAACACCCAAGTATAGTCCGCTCTCCACTTTCTGTCTTCATAAAGATGTCTCTACTTTATATAATACTCACTTTAATGAAATGTTTGTACGATACTCAGGCGGTTGTGACCCTTATCCTCTTAAATTTGCACGCGTCGGAGAAGTAGTTGACTGGTTTTGCTATAATTGAAGACATGTCCGTGCAGCAGCAGAACTATGCTATTGCAACTCTGGATTTGTATAAGGTGGGTCTCCGACCGCGGAAAACTAACCCATGTCTGCATCTACGCTTTGTATATTGTTATTTGTTTCTTATTGGACTGTGTGTGCTTAAACATAACTATTCTCGTAACCTCTAAACATACAATTTTGTTGTATTTAATAATCTGACAATTAGTCTCAGTTACAGATTAATTTCATATATTTTGTTTCTATTCCATATCGACTATTTTATATAGTATTCAATATCTATTCTACATATGGCTGAAGTATATTCCACTTAACATACAATGAATTTTGGTTTGGTTAAATAACAATGGGGACTGACTAATATCAGAAATAGTATAGTATAGATCTATTTAACTTATGTTTAGGTTTCATATGCTGTTGTAATATCTACAATTTATAAATTATGTTTGGGTTTATAGATCAATGAACATGATTTAGATTTAGTAATTATGAATTTGTCTTGTGTTTTAGTATTTAAGCATTATAAGAACCAAAATGGAGTAAACTGACCCGTCTATTCTGTTTATAGAGGTTCTATACATATATAGTACATAACGAGAAATTTGCATCATATTATACAAATTATATTTGGGTTTATAAATCATTAATTAGGATTTAGATTTAGTAAGTATGGTTTTTTGGTTTTTAGTATTTAATCAGTAAATAGGGTTTAGTATTAATGGGTTGGGTGGGGTTGGAGTACTACTTGCAGGCTATACTATTCTTTGGGGAAGATCAGTTTTTGTTAAATCGTGTTCTATTATATTATATACGTATGGAATAGAAATGTAAAAGAATATGTATTATGTTTGTTATACTCATGTTATGTAATGTGAAATAGTCTGTTACTATACTTATTTATCACATATTGTTCCATTTGGCGATTAATAAAGAATGTTCTTGTTCACCAATATGTATTATACTATGTATTTGTTCCATTATATTTGGATTTAGGGTCTATTATTGAGTTTAGGGTAGGATTTAGCGTTTAGTATTTATTTGGAAAGTGGGGGTTGAAGTTTGAGTTTAGGTTTAGGTTTAGTGACCCTATCATTTGTCGTTCCATTTTACGATTAATAAAGATTTTTCTATTTTATTTACCAATATGTACTATACTATGTATATTGTTTCATTATGTTTGGGTTTATGATCTATTTTTGGGTTTAGGGTTTAGTGATTAGGATTTAGAGTTTAGTATATATTTGGCAGGTATGGGTTGAAGTTTGGGTTACTGACCCTTTAATGTATTGTTCCATTTGACGTTTAATAAAGCGTGTTCTATTTTGTTCACCAATATATACTATACTATGTATTTTGTTTCATTATATTTGGGTTTATGGTTTATACTTGGATTTAGGGTTTAATGATTAGGATTTAGTATTTGGGTTTGTGGTCTATACTTAGATTTAAGGTTTAGTGATTAAGATTTAGAGTTTAGTATTTAAAATTGGTTAGTGTTGTTGGAATCCTATACTACTCTGTCGATATAGAATAAAATACTCGGATATCTATATATACGGTCAATAGATGTGAAACATGGATGCCGTTAAGTTATATAACTTTTAATCAACTATACTATATGCAGTAGAAAAATATAGAACAGAAATGTACCATAATTTCATCATCACCACCGTCTTTACTGGAAAATCATTCTTACCAATTTATAATTCGTATGTCTATTCTATAATTCCTAGTTATGTAGTATAGTCTAATATTACAAAATATTTTGTGCTATTTTCACATTTTTTATTTAGATTTTGGGTTTATATTTGTGTTTAGGCTTTGGATTTAGTGATTGGTTTAGGGTTTATATTTGGAAAGTGAGGGAGTATCAGCATTAACTTCTTCCATACAATCATAGACATTTCATAATTTCACCAATATGTACTATGTTATTTATTTTGTTCCATTCTATTTGGGTTTAGCGTTTATATTTGGGTTTAGAGTTTATATTTGGATTAGTGTTTAGTGATTAGAGTTTAGGGTTTAGTATTTAGATGGTGAGGAGGCTTTGGTCATCATTAACTTCTTCCATACATACATAGAAATTTCATAAATTCATTAATATGTAATATGTTATTTATTTTATTTTATTCTATTTGAATTTTAGGGTTTATATTTAGGTTTAGGGTTTACTGATTGGAGTTTAGGGTTTAATTATTAGGGGTTGGGATGAGATTGTGATAAGGTTTCGTATCTAGGAATGGAGACTGCGATATGTTTAATATATAGTGGTTGTAGGTGGAATTATAATCTTATACTACTTCGGTGATATGGAATAACACTCTGTGCATATGCATCTGCTCAGCATTAGTGATTTCACGCAATTCATTTTTTTGTTGCCTAATAAAACAGAATGACTGATGTAATTGAATGGAATATACAATATAGTAGAAGGTATACAATTTTTGGTCACTGAAAACAATAACTTCGTATGCGGTAAAAATTAAATTGACGTGGCCAGGTTTTCTTT